TAGCTTTGTCACGTATCTGTTCTCTCCGAATTCTTCGGTTCTCCGCACAACTGAACTTGCCGAAGGGGGGGGGGAGCGGCGGGGGCTGTCAACAGCGGTGACTATGAATTTTAATGTCCCCGTTTGTTTTTCAACACTCCTCTTTCTTTCACAATTTTACAGTTATCAAACTATACTATATCAGCGGGAATAGGCTTAATGTAAATATATTCTTATTTTATATATTTTTAAAAAAGCTTTTCCTAAACACAACAACCTCAGGTTACTTGGTAGTTTTTTTTTAAAAATAATGTCATCATTTGTTAATTAATTCTTATCTAAATACATCTTGTTTTATGCTGATCTGACTTCGAGTTTAAACCACGCTAAATTTCACCCTTAACTTTATGTTTACCAGTGACACACTGTGACCTGTACGTCCACTCACTATAAATTAATATCAGTAGAAAATACACGTCTGCAAAACAAAGGGACCGCAGATTGTTTTATATACGTCCTCTACTTTTAGTAGTAAACTTTTTTGACGCCAGTTTAACACGATCCCACCAGGAACTGCGATGCGAGTAGTTACTGTATTCATTTTACATACTGTACGTTTATTTATTTACTATTAAGATACCGTATTGCACGATTTTAGGAGTTCGAGGGTAAACAGGTCTGTAATAAACAAGAAAAAAATCTAGATACAATAATTTAAACTGAAAATGAAAAATTAAGGCGCTTAGCACCCTGGAAGTTTCCGAACGTGTGAAGATCTCCTAGTGGTCTAGACATAACATTCACATTTTTATCACAACTTCTCGTGTTCCATACGTTTTATTAAGCAAGTTTAAGTGCCGTGGGCGGGCCGGATGAACTGGCCTTGAGGGCCGGATCCGGCCCGCCGGCCGTAGTTTGGTGACCCCTGCTATAAGCGATTGATTCTCATACTGTTAAGATTTGTGATTTCTTTTTAGGAAAACTAACGTAAACAAAGAAGTTGATTTCATATAATGAAATAAGTTTAGATACTTCTTTTGAGTTTACCTACGAGGGTATTTGAATGAAAGTGCGCCCCTTTTATGTGTGATTCGTATCAAAGACTAAACCCCACCATCGTTGTGACGTAATTCTTCAGGTTGTCACCCGGAAATATG